TGTCTTTTTCCGAGATCTCAGTTACATGTTTAATAGATGATTTATCATACTCAAGATGCCTCTTCTACTTATTTTACTATTGTATACTCATTTTTCTCTCTGTGCTTGTTTGAATATGTTTCTTGACCTTTCTTCAGTTTACTACTGTACTTAGTTTGCTGTCAAGCTCATCTGTGCATTATTACTCTAATTATTATATTACTTTTCTTTTTTCAAATGTGCCTTCAGTTCTTTTTTATAAATCCTAATTTATGTACTTTCTCCAATTATTCTTTATTGCTTAGATTATGTTTATCAAGGCTCTAGATGATTTACTAATCTCTATCGGGGTCTCAACATTTCCTCTGTTAGACAGATGCAGTGGGCAGGTGGCCAATTGTAATCCCATCAATGGCTGAACTGAATCAAGTGTTGTAGACTTCATGCCCCTCTGGAGCACCCAGCTGCCAAGACATAGGTATCCAAAGCCTCCTACTGGTTCATTCACAGGTCCTGAACACAGGCCAGGGCAAGACTTCTGAAAATACTGCTCTCTTTTCAGAAAGTTCATTCTTAGTGTCTTAGCCTCCAATTCTATGTGCAACTGTAGGCTTTAGCAAATGTCCTATGAGCAAAATCAGGCATATGTCAGCTGGGTGTTCTACGTTTAATTCTTATTGGGCTCTAGGTCCCCCATGTCTCTTATTTTGTCTCTTCATCTTTTTAAGACTACCAAAATCCCTGCTGGCTTCTCTGACCATCTCAGGCAAACTTCATTTTGTTAGTCTCTTGCTATATTTCCAGATTGGCAGTTGACCCTACCTTTCATTCCAGGGAATAAAAGTGGGGTGGAAGAAACCTTAAAAGTTAGCTCACCCCTGTGATACCTCCTCCACCTGGAATCTTGATGTCATCAAAAGTTCTCCAATAGTTTTTATTACTTCTTTCCCCTTTATATCTAGCTTTTCTAATTGTCCTTATGGCAGTGTTGGTCTACTGTGGACCATTTCACCGAAACTGTCAACTGAAGTCCGGCATGAGTTTCACTGATTACATAAATAGATGTACAAGGATCCAAGATCGTTACTGAGTTAGTAATCCCAGCTGTATGCTTTTAGGCAATATGGCTAACTCCAAACTCATTAAGAAACCATTGTAAAAAAGGCCAGATTCTGTTCTGCAGTTACATTCTGTGCC